TATTGTGGAAATCGGATAGGTTGGTAGATCCTGAACGTGTGTTGACCATTGCACACGACGAACTCGATAAACGTTGAGTAAATAGGAAGTCAATAGTTGTTGACGTCAGTTAGTTCTCACGGTCCTTATCCTTTATGCGCAAGTCAAACGTGAGGGGAGTTCTTGGTGAGTGTTTTACTCGTTCGAAGAAATCATGTATTGAATTTTGTTTATTGAATTTAATTGATCACCACCTCAGCAGAAAAGGAAGGATGGTGTTCATTAGATGTTATTGGCTTATTTGTCTCCACTTGCTTTGATGTCCGTGCATCCCCTAATACCTTGCCACCCCCCAAGTCTACCAGCGAGATTTTTTTCACCCCGCTCCTACAAGATTGTTCTCAGCCGATTGCCAATACTTGACGTCACTACGCACCCCTCTTTGCCTTATTCCCCTGGCAACCAATATTCAGCCACTCGGCAGAGAACGGACCAGCCAAGGTGCAAGAATCCCACAGACTCGAGAGCCCTATTCTATAGTTGCTCGACGTTTCTTTGTGCGCGCCATGTCCTACTACCCTTTTCGTCTCCCAGGAACTAAACTGTTCCCAGGACGGTCCAGTGACCTCCCAGGAGCGGGATGTGGGCCTCCCAGGAACACCAACCACGTTCCCCGGAACCGCCCAGAACCCAGGAACTGCAAGTGGGATCCCAGAGCCGGGGCCAAATTTGGATTTTTCTCTTGTTTTAATACTATAGTTTTAATACCAATGGAACCAGTCTGATGACTGGGGTTTTTTTCACTTCTCTTATTTTATTACCACTGAAGTATTGACACCCCAGTTGTACATATTAAAACCCCACAGGTTTCCAAATTTACAATGTTCTAGATTGTTCTATTATGTTTAGTCAGCCCTTTGGACCCAATAATCATGGAGTTGTCCGTTGCCAATAATGCCATAACGAAGTCCTGGGACGCCCTTTTGGTTCCGTTGTTAAACCTCCAGGCCAATGGGTCTCTATTCATAGGGGTTCTAAGTCCCATAGAGTTGCGGGCAACGCTCCAGTCCCGCGACACTGACTGTCGCTCTACGCTCGGGCTGTGCTTGGCTGGACTCGCAGTATGGCAACGACTGCTTGTTCCTCAAAGGGCTTGTTCGCAGTTTGCAGTTCGCCGTTCTGAATAGCAATTTAGTTGCAATATCCCACTTACGTACTTCGTACACTCTCAGAGGAAATATTTCCAGTTACGTCATAACAGCATGTTTAGTCATCTTCTTGTAAACCAATCATTGGCTGTATGCGGGATCTGAACCGAAGACGCGTCACTGCGTCATTGGTGGCCCCGCGGTCTTTCCTTTTAACCTGGAGATCAGGCGAGCCGGAATGGAAGGCGACCCCGAAATGGCCTGAAAGTGGGGTTCGTGGCCTGGAGTCGCCAGCCATACGCAACCTCCATAGCACTGCCAACTACAGTATTGGGTCGCCGGCTAGCCTAGAGAGTTAAGCAAGAATGGGAGTGTCGGCGGTTTGAAGTTTCACGGTTTGGAGTTCGCGGTTTGGAGTTCGCGGTTTGGAGTTCGCAGTTCTGGATAGTAAGACCTCGCCTCCTCTAGGCATCTTATGCAATATTTAAGAGCTAATCATCCCCGGTATGGCCGATGTGTATTCAGGACCTGATGGCTCAATCAGGGACCATCAGCATTAAGCAAGCAAGCCTGTTCCTGACAAGGGATAGGGCAGGTACGTCTTTACTTGTCGATGAGGTCCGTTGGATAATGACTGCATGATGTCTAACCCCCAAGGCCTAGAGCATACAGTAGCGTGTTAGGCAGAACAGCCAGACAACGAGAGAAGGTAAGCCTATTCTCTCTAACTAGTTATTTGGAAAGAGCTTTTGCTGACTACTAGCTTCGTTGTTCATTCCTCTCAGCGAGATCATACAACGCAGTTATCCTTTGAAGCAAATGCCTTTTATTGGACGGAAGTGGGCCTCGCGAGTGATGCAATTGAAATAGTCGTCTCGCTACGGTGACTGTACTTTGAGGATTGGAAGGAGGACCGAATTTATCTATGTACTGACGAGGCAAATCTAGATACCATCTAGTCGGGGCATGTTTTGAGACAATGCCTGAAACCGACGGGAAGTTTAACGTGTGTTAATGCCTGAGGCACTAATTGACTCTGAGCTAAGGGGTGAGTAAGCGGGTAAACAACCCGACGCCCATCCTCCAGTGACATTCCATTCCCCGCACCAGCTGGGCCCCCTACTCTGTTGACTTCAATTTGTTTCGTTCGATTATATGCTGAAATCTTTCAACAAGGCACCGAGGAAACAATCGCTGAATTACGATGTCAGCTTGAAGAATAACAAAGGCTCCGAGAAGCAGCAGAGCGCAGCCAGAGGGAGGAAGAACGGCGACTCCAACCCACACCGTATTGGCATTCTCGATCGCCGTCACATCTCTGTCTAGAGCGATCCGAGTTGAGTCGGATGGACCCTCACGACTCAGGGCGAGGCGACTGACCCAGTAAACCGACTTTGCCCCCAGCGCATAGTCCCTTTGAAACCAGAGAAAATCCAATTTTGGTGAGTCTCCCTTTTGTCCAGGAAGGGGATATTATGTCATACTTTGAGATGCTAAAATTAACTAGTTAGTTAACCAATAGAAACCTTGCGTCATTTGCCGGGAAATACTTCTACCGGAAACCGTGATCGGCTGACATCAGCCTCCTGGATCAAGCATCCACCAATCGAGACCTGTCGCGATTGTCTCAAGCTATTTCCCCCTCCGACAGATCGATGCCCGACAACAACTCCCCAGATTACAAGGCTCTCTTTCTGCAGGCGGAAAAGAGACGCAAAGAGGCCGAAGAGCAACAAAGACAGGCCGAAGAGCGACAGAAGCAGGCCGAAGATGAAGGAAGACGAGAGAAAAGGAGGCGGGAGCAGGAAGAGGAGAGACGGAAGCAAGCCGAAGATGAAGGCAGACAGGAGAAAGAGAGACGGGGTCTAGGGGTGTTCTAGACGACTGTTGTCCGAATGTGATGCGCCATCGTCGAAGCAAAGACGATCTTCAACATCCGATTACCTCAGAAGATTTGGTGCGTTTACTAAAGGCACAACTGGACGAAAACATTGACAGATGCACACCCCTTGGAGGTTGCGGGGCTTACGGTGCGCCGTTCAAACTTACTTGTGTCGTATATGGCTACACTGTCGTCGGAAAAGGTACCACGTCCGGGCTGTGGAAAGATGTCTCGCGAAGCGCAAGTATACCAAATTTTGCGCAAGGCTCAAGGGTCTGCTGTGCCCGTATTTTTGGGGACGATCGACCTGGCGAAAATTTATTTCCTTCATGGGGCTGGAGAGATTCGCCATATGCTCGTGATGGGCTGGGGAGGCGAAAGTACAACCTCGATGGAACTCACGCCTATCCTTCTCCGGGAGATACATAAGTCGAACAGAGAGATCAAAGCTTTGGGAATCATCCACGAAGACCTTCGGCGTGATAATATTCTGTGGAACGAAGAGCTTGGGCGGGCGTTGATCATCGACTTTCACCGCTCCACATTGAAAAGTCGACCGACTTTGCAGCGACCACGAGCCGTAAAACGACGACTATCTCAACCAGAGATAGGTGATCCAAAACGTCTTCGTGTGACATGAGGCAGTGATTGGATTAGCAATACAATTATGCATGATAATAAAGCATGAAGCATTTCCGGCACGCATCCGCATGACTCAGTCAGGATTTCTATCTATTTTAATTCTTGATGCCCGCTTCTCCAATGCACCTACATGGTCTCTGGTGATGTATGATTCTATATGCGTTGACAATCACGAATTGATCATCCAATTCTGGCTCTCGGACTTGACTTTTGCGTGATGCCATGAATCACATGAAAACCTTGATTCAACTATGAAGCTTCAGGACCGATATTATGGACTGTATTGTACTAACCGAAAATATTGCGATAAGCGCCCAACCGCTCGGCAACCTCGAGGAACGAGATTATCCACATGACTTTCCCAGGTATGCTGTTAGACATACATTCCATCAGCAGGCCTCTCTCTGCCAAACTCCTTTGAAAATTTCTTATTTGATTCGGCGGCTAACTTCAAGTATTTGTAGTTCACCTGGTTGACGTCAGCCTCAGCGAGAGCGTGTGCAATTGCTGCGACGTTTTTGATCTGGTTCATGATTGGTCAGCAAGTGAGATATTCAGTGCCACTCGGACACCCACCTCTCGTCCATTCAGAGCTAAAGACTCCAATCGTCGGAGTTCGTGCTCCTCAACAATGGCAGGTCCTTGCATCGTACATGCCTTGGACAGAAAAGTTGACCAGAGATCTCTGCGAAACTCTCTCGTTAAATTCTCATACTCAATGATCAAATGGATCCGGCTGAGAATCGCGTCATCAAACTGGATACCCCGATTTGAAGTCAAGAAAAGAATTCCTTGATAATATTCCAGCTTTCGGAGGAAAATGGTCACAAGGCGATTGTGGGTATCGTGGTATGATGTACGCTGCTCCATGAACGCGTCTGCCTCATCCAAGAGAAGCACGGCATTAAAGTGTTTGGCGATCTTGAATACTGTTTCAAGTTGTTGCTCAAGCGCATTGGAATCTCCGTGGTTGACAACAAGTTCGCCTGCAGATATCTGGAAAAATCAGTGACGCCAAAATCAGCCGAGCTGGATGGTTCATACCGAATAGAGGGGGAGCTTGAAATACTCCGAGGTTGCCTCGACCGTGAAAGTCTTTCCGACTCCCGGTGGGCCACTAGCACAAGTTAGGTTGGGAAGACTTGATAGCATAGACGCTTTGCCGACATACTTCAGAAGAATGTTGAATCCTTGGCCCTTTCCATCAATTACGTCGTCGAACGGTACCGTTGGTATCATCCCTAGGCGGGTTTTCGCCAATGACAAGAGGATGGTCTTGGTCTCTGAAGGGATCTTCAGGCAGTCGAACGACTCAGGTGACCAATCCACGTCCCTAAGAGCACTAACTGCGCACTCCACTAGAATCACATTAGCCGGACACCGAACCATTGTCAGTCGTGTCACATACAGAACATTTTCTCCTTGAAACTGAAACAGCAAACTGTTGGGCAGGCGACCAGTAAATCGGCCTCGCTCAGCTTTTGTGCATCCACACCGTTTCCTCGCATTTTCTCCTTCTCTCGCTCACGGTCCTCCATGAGCATTGCACCAATGTTAATGACTGCAATTCCATCCTTATCCTTGACCCCAATATCGCGGAGTGATGGTCGAGAGTAGTTTGGCTGCATTTCATGGAAAAATGCGGCGTCCACTGCCACTCTGCTGTTGATGTTGACTTTGATAGCCTTCCCCTTGTTCATAAAGAATGCGCTGCCTTTACAGTGCCGAACGTGTAAGCCGGCCAAATCCCGAAACTTTTGACCCCTCTCGATCAGGTCTTTCCGGACTTGCTCGTGATTTGAATGGTGGTGGAGAGGGAAGGCCTCAAGGGTTTCGATCGGCTTTGATCCTCGGAACTTGGCCACTCGCAGAAAGATACCGGCCTCGCCGAACTTGACTCCGTTATAATCAAGAAATCGGCACTCGAGATTCAACCACGTCTCGTCATTTTGTGTCATCTCTTCGCCCGCGTCGAATACGACACATCGCGGCTCTTTTGTGCCAATGCATGTGGTATAAACATGGCAACCAGGCTTGAAAAGCGCCCAAAGAAGGTCATATGTAATATGACCGTGCTGCAACATTGATTCGAGACGCTGCAAAGTAGAAGCATATGCGTGCTTGAGGTGGTCGATGAGCAAGAGGAGATGCTCCGCATGTGCCGACTCATGGTCTGAACTGCTATCCATGTTCTCCGCACATCTGTCGAGCTCTGGGAGGAAATGAAAAAGGAAATTTTGCTCGATCTAAATCCACGTCAGCGTGCTCCTTGATGATAATACTGTCTCAATTACCGATGGCTTGTCCTCCATCAGGCTAACGGCCTTGATGTCGTGCAGCACGTCTCGCAGGATGTCGCGTAGGCCTTCCGACTTGATGTCTATGAATGGAACTACCTCCTCGGACGTTCGGTCTGATCATACTATTAGTAGGTTTTCGGTCCGGCATGCAAAGGTGTTACGTACCAACACGTTCACGGACAACGAATGCATACTCAGCGTAGTCATCCAGGTCATTGCTAGTCCCCGTTGGCTCGGCTATCTTGTATTTACATGCCTCTTTGTCCCAGCTAGACCCATGTCAGCCATCTGAAAAAGTGGAAGGGGTGGTTGGCTGGTGGCTCCTACCTTTCCATAACTGTTTTAAATTGGGATTTTGATGCCCATTTCTCAAACGACTTGAAATCATCCGGTGTGGTACAGATCGGGCTTTCGAGATCAAGCCCATCTGCCGCCTGGACCTTCTCTGCCTGCTCATTGCTGGAAAAGCAAGATTGAGAAGGCTCAGAAGGCTCATTTGCCACGGGAGGCTCAGCTGAAGAATATCCTTTGCGGATGACCTTCTCTAACAGTTGCTTCAGTTGGACCATATCGGGGCCTGGTGGGGAATGGTCCTGGAAGACAGGAGTATTTGGAGGGTCTCGGTTGGTAAGATCGAACAGCACCTTTTCAAGCACGTCAAAGAGATGCTTCAGATCCTCCACGGTAGCTTGAGGCGTGGCCGACCCTTTCATTGGGCTATCTGGAGGCGTCAGGCCTTGGTGACTGGGAGAGGAAGTTTCCAATGCCATGTTGTGCTCAAAGGTTCGATGAGATGGATTAGCTGATTTGGCTATAGAAACAAAAGGTTGATATAGCAAAGTTGGTGAGAGTCTGAATCTCAACGAGGGAGCATGCTGCATTATAAGTTTGTCTCACGAGATGATCTTCAGTCTGCGTGATATCCTATGGTAGGATGCATGAGACTTCGTTCTAAAAGATTAACTCGTTCCATCTAGTGCAATCCCTCCTTTGTTTTCCTTCCGCCTTGAGATGGTGCGGTGGGATGGGCGATGAGAACCACTTTTTTTGGTCATAAATTCCTCAAAGCTTTGGCAAATTCCCCAGGTGACTGCATGTGTCACATATTCCTAGCCCATTGTCCCATTTGCCTATGCGCTGTGCGCGTGGCTGTGCGCTGCGGGTCCACACAGCCTAGTTCATTGGGTAGGTTCCTTACCCCGCTCTAGTCCAATGTTGCTCAAAAATCGGGTATATTGACCAATGCCCCCCGTCTGTAACATATTTCCCATTCCTACATCTCCACTTCCCATTATCTTCGTCAACCAATTTTTTGGATTATGGACGGGTATACCCAGACAATCAGCTTACTGGATGGCTTTAATCCCCAGTCTCTAGCCCCAAAAGATTTGGAGGAAACATTAATCTCTCTGAAGCGGCAGCTGCTAAAAACCGAAGCTGCGAAACTGTTGCTTCCTGCAAAGGAATTACCCTTCAGTCGTGTTTCGTTGGGGCGACTGTTGAGTTTGCTTAATTTGGTGTTCAAGCCTGAAAAAAAGTACGAACCAAAGTTAGCAGCTCTCAGGGCATTGGACTCTGTATCTCTGGTTATTTGTGGCCTTTGTCTCACCCAGAAGGCTGTCGATATCATGCGGAAGGAGCTTTTCGACGTGTTATTAGAACAGGCTGTGATTGCTTCTCAAGCTATTGTTCAGGTCATCACGAAAAGCGAAGAAATAAACAGGGTGATTTTGAGCTCATCTGTTGACGAAGAATTTCTACAGAGCAAGTTCTCCACCAGCACTTAACGAGTCGGCGCTGACAAAACACTAGATCATCTCAGCCTGAGACGAATCACCAACGGTACCATAAGACCAAGCCTTCAATATTCTCTCAACGGAAGTCCGTCTTGGTGTTATTCTAAGATCATAAAGCCAGAATCAATGCAGGCAACATTCCCTCGTTTGATCACCAAAGCAACTCGCGGTTACGTCACGACTTTCCTTCCATCAGAAGGATCTACAGATGGAATGATCAGAGTAATGACCATGTTTGATCAAAATATCCTTCGGACTTTGTTCGGCTGTGCAGAGACTGACACAATGGCCGCTGGTGAGTAACTTGCACATCACAGCTAGATATGCGCTGACCCAGAGATAGAACGTTTTTCAGTGGGCTGCGCAGTGAAGAATCAGATTGCTGTGGCGTTTGGCGAGGACGTCTTTGAAGCTATCACAAGTAGTCAAGCGTGGAGTCAAGAAACTGGGGAGATCGAGACGAAGTGTTTGAAGGTAGATGTATATCCAGCGCAACTCATGATGATCAGTCTGACAGTTAGCTGGACATCATGCTACCATTTTGTAAATTCAATTTATAGGTCATAGACTTTTAGCTGATCCACCCTTTGCCCGGACGCGAATGCCTGGTGGGAGCTTCATTTGTCCGCTGCCTTCAGTTCGAAATAGGGTTGAGCCATCTCCATTTTGAAACAATATCTCCTCACAGCAGTCGCACGCAAAAAGCTGCTCGGTCGGGGATGCCTCGATTTGGTGGGCTGCTCTCTTATCAGACTCTTGAAATGTGATTTTCGTGAAGCTTTGCCAACGGCTTTCCTGCTCGAGTCAGATAGAGTTCCAATACACTTCAGGATATGTGTCATACCAGATCGGATTTTGTGACAATCGTGTTCTGCGCCATCCCTCAGTCTGGGTGACACCTTTAACTCGAAGTTTGTCTGATGATCGCGCAGTTGCGTAGCAAGTTTGTAATTTTGTTGTAAGGCGCAGGAAAGTGTCTTCAGTCGTAAGAATCGACGTCTTTTGCGTGTCCGTGTCCGGTTAAGGGGGATGTTGACTGTATTTGCAGGGCAGGAATGTGCATAATCCGCGCAAGAGGCCGAAAAGTGAGAAAATGACGTGGACAGCAAGCGAACAAATTTTGGTGGGTTGAAGTTGCACCGGAGCAGATGGGACGAAAGTGGGGGCGGGCAATAATATAATTAACAAGGCCCGATACTGCCCGAAGTTAGGCACCTATGCCTCACCCTTCTCTTTATCAACGAATAACTTCAAGTACATTTCACCAAACTGGACTATACAACCCCAGCAATTGTTGGCTCCTCTAATGACGGAATTAACAGGTATGACTGTAGATCCAATAGTGGTAACAGCAAGATCGGCGAAGGGCGTCACTATTTGAGTGAACCTGGAGGGAAACTTGCTGTCTTATAATTAGTCATTCCATATATTGCCCCTCGCAAGATGCCCTTGTTCTGCGGAATGTACATACAGTCAGCCGCTTCAACTTGCGTAATACGTTCACGTAGGATGCATGAGACTCCACATGCTCAAGGATCGTCACCGTCAAGAATACGAGACCAGATTAGGTAGATCATAACTGAATCACTATTCTCCGTTCAAAATTACTCGAACTCCTAGTAAAACTTGCCAGGTAACTGCATGTCACATATTCCTAGCCCACTGTCCCATTTGCCTATGCGCTGTGCGCGTGGCTGTGCGCTGCGGGTCCACACAGCCTAGTTCATTGGGTAGGTTCCTTACCCCGCTCTAGTCCAATGTTGCTCAAAAGTCGGGTATATTGCCCAATGTTCCCTGTCTTGTAACATGTTACGCATTTCTTTGTCCTTTCTTCCCTAAGTTTTGTCTTTTCAGAAGTTCACCTGATTCAACGTACCCAATGACAATCTTCTATGCATGCCGACAGCAGCTACCCTTCTCGCCATGCGCAGGAGACGGGCGCGTAGCACTTGTGGGCCAAATCTTACGAGCCTATCCCCGTCCACCACACTCCAAGTAAGTCAGCGACACCTACTCAGCGATGAGAGTATCTGCAGTTCCTGTGCCGTTAAATACTAGATCGAAACCGAGTCATTGGAAGAGGAACATACAATTTATTCAAGACAACTTACCACTTCCTAACACTTTCCTTTCCCCAAGATAAGGAATATCTTTTGCGAATCCCACTCTCTCAGGTGCGTCTGGCTACGAGTCTATATCTGATGTATTCGATGAACTTACTCAGGTTTATCCCAGCATGTGTACCGTTGACGTTTCAACAAAAATCTACGAGTGCGGAGACAGGATTACAGAAGATGTCAGGTTTAAGCCTTGCCCTAACGTCGGCACCCCCGCTTGCCCGGGTCGCAAGGAAAACCCTTTAGGCTCAAGCCGGGTGAAAGGAAAATGTGGAACACACGGTTGCAGAAACCCATAAATCCCCTTAGCCAATTCGAAGGGGACAAAGGGATTTTGATCAGATTGTTTGGTTAGCAAAGGATTTCGATTCTGGTTCATTCTTTCGTGCTGGATTTGAAGAAAGAAGGATAGCAAATGGATTCACATGTTGTTAAAAGCTACTTGAGCCATGTCATGCCCATCCCCAGAAGCTTCTATCGCACCGAAAGACAAATTTTGATCTCGAATGAGCGACGCCACATCACTGTATCGATCTGTCCAACATCCCTGTATCACGGCACCACCAGTAAGACCATCAACTGAAGGATATTTTTGAGACGCAAAGAGAGTGTCTACTCGTTCTTCGTAGTCATTCTTCTCTGCCACAGATCGGAATGGCCCAGGGGACTTGTAGGGCCAGTGGCCGGTCATGATCGTGTAGAAGACCGACCCGAGACTGAATATGTCCACAGCCTCTGTTGACACCCATGGCTTGCACGGATTGAAAAAGCCGGAGTCGGGGAGATGTCCACCATCTATGTCGCCATTCGTCGACCCTCCAAAATCACATAGTAGAAGATTGAGCTTGCTTTTGGAATCGGAGTGTAATAACAAATTCTCTGGCCGCAAGTCGGAATGAATGACTCCCTTTTGGTGGATATAGTGGACGGCTTCTGCTGCCTGGCAACACCATTTCAAACGAAGAGATAGGTCGATAGCATCATTATGCTGGTCAATGTAAGCTTGCAGATTACCATCGCTAGCTTCGCCAAAGAGCAATCCACGAGGTTCCTCAGAGATACCAATATAGCTACAGTAGAAATAATATTAATAATTGGACCGCCTGGCGTTCAGCTGACATACCATATTATTCTAGGGTGCGTCCCTAATATATCGAAAAGTCGCTCTTCAACCTCGAAACTGCGCTTGATGTCCTTGACAAATGAGGATGCGTCCGCCGCTCCGGAATACCACCACGAATACCTGGGGCATTTGACAACGATACCCGGTTTTAGTCTCACTATCAATGAAGTCGACCCTTGGCTCAAGGTTTCACCGAGCTGAGGTTCATAAAGGACCGGGTCTGCTATTTTGCCTGGCAAGACAGCTTGATATTCTTCAATTGATCCCAAAACGTGGTTCTTTGCGACGGCGGGAGAATCATTTTCCGTTAAGGGGTGTCCGCAACTCTCAATATCGTCACTCTTTCCACGTGCGAACAAATAATTTCTGATGGGCGAGGGTAATATGCGACCAAAGAGGCCAAAAGAACCATATAGGTAGTACTTTAGTAATTCATGAAAAGCCGAGCAACATTTCCAGAAGTGCGCCAACATTTTGGAGAGCTATAAGGAGGGTTTTCAACAGCCACCTGAAAAGCGTTCAAGGGTGAATTTGTCACATGATCAACGGTGAAAGCAAACACGTCAAACAAGATAGCAACTGTGGGGCTGGCTCAAGTGCTTCCAACAAACTCGACGGAAGCCTGCAAGCGCCAGAAGAATGGGCCAGAGTAAAAGAAAGGGGGAGACGATAAGTGCAAGATAGAGAGGCAGAAAAATGGAAAAGTGAGAGAAAGGGAGGAAGAGCAGCGAAGGCGGGTCTTTTAAGTCGGAGAGCACTGAAGGGAGGTTACGTGACGGCGTATTGGGGCGCTAAACCCAAAAAGGCAAAACTAACCACATATAGTAATTCACAGGTCCGCCGTTTACAAGATTCACATTACAGTCGAAAACAGTGTCGCCAATAGCAAAAAGTGAGATTAAAACTGTGTTTCAGTGCCAGAGAGGCTTATCAACTCTGCAGAGAGACTATTGCCGCTCTTTGAAACTGTGAAACCTGGTAAGGTTCAACTGCTGCCCAACGCACTACGGGCGCTGGACTCAGCGGGACAGTCTTGTTTTTGGCGATCCGTTTGACTGATATTCGACAAAGACTAATAACTACTGCCAACTCAAACCGGGGAATAGCGATCCACCGTTTGCCTGCGCCGAGGTGGACCGTATCGCGGTCTTGACACACTTTCTTCGGTGCCTTTGCTCTTGCCACCCGCGGCTTGAACTGCCTCGCAAGGTGCGCCTCTATATGAAGATTCGCTCCTCACGTTGGAACTCGCCCAGAATGCCCAGGATTTCCAGCCTTGCGGCCCTTGAGGCGTGTGGAATAGCGCACCTGGAGGGAGCCTTCCGACCTTCCAGGAAAATACTCTGCGATTCGCTTCCATGGCAGGCTCCGCTCTTCCTTCAATTCAATCAAAAGCTGGTCGTCCTTAGACAGGAATCGGGTTGGCCCGGTCGTTTTCCCAGCGCGGGACCCTTTCTGGGGGGGTTGCTTGGAATGCTGGCTGCCAATTTTGTTTTCATAATGTGAAGTAGCTCTGCCTGATCTCTGAGAGCAGGAATGCTCTGCCTGCTCTTCAAAGGTAACTGAATAGATGACCCTTGACAAAAGTATCTGTCGCGTAAGGAAACCTCGGATAGGAATCGTTTCGATATCGTGCAAGCTTGTTGGGGAAGTCTGATCTGCGGCTACTTTGGATTGAACTGCCTCGTCGACCGAGAGGCGTTTAGTGTTCTGCCGGGGAGGTCTAGGCTTAAGCTGCGCGGCAGGTCGCCTTGCTCTTTTCAGTCGATGGAAAGGAACGCTGTTTCCATGTGCGTCTTCACCACTTTCGCCCACGTAGTCCGCATCGTCGGGGCCATCAGGGTCATCGCTGCTGTCATCAGATATATACTCATCCCGGTCTCGCTTTCTGTTCGAAGGGGCCATTCGTGTTATTGAGACAGAGTCCTTCGTTCCTCGCTCTTGGGAACGGCAGTTGGAGATGACGACCGACGGCTGGTCCAACACTGGAGCCTGATCCAACACTGGACAGAATCCTGTAACTTCCTCTGCTGGGCTGTATGGCGACTGCTTTTCTCTGTCTTGAAATGTGGGTGAGATTGAACGCGCCAATGTTCCATTTTGACGAAGTTTTGGAGATGCTGACAGGCTCTCCGCATCACGACGCTGTAGCTCGCCTTCCTTGTCATGAGCTGCAGCCCTGTCTTTCTCCTGGCCAATAACCACATGGCTTTCGGAAACGGGCTGTCTGTTGTACTTCTCGGCTGGCATGCTTTTCCCGATGACGCAAGCTGCCGGTTTCGATCCTAATTCGTCTGCTTCAATTCCAGCATCTCCAGGCAACAAATCCGTTGGAGTGGGTGGCTTTTCCTGGGCCGCAGGGGCAAGAACTTGGCCATTGACCATCGTATTGCCGTCTGCTATATCTATTGTCGGGTTCGAATGTGGCAAAATGTCTCCCTCCATCGTGGCTTCGTCTGCATTCTACCACGTGAGCCAGAGGACTGGGCAGCCTAGCTGACTGAGAGAGCACTGACCTGCATTTTCATATGCTTCTGTTCGGCTTAGAATTTCTTCCTCCGCCACCGGGATGCAGAGGCCATCACGGACCGATGTAGAGTATAAAGGAGTGGATTTCTCAAGACCTCCCCCCTGGATAATATCTTGAGAAGAAAATGTCACGTTGCTCTTATGATGCTCGTCACCTTGGAAGTCTGGTCTCAAAGTGCGAAGTCAGCCCTCTATTGTCGACCACGTTATCGTTAAGGAAAGATAGATAAGGCACAATGAGTTCAACAGAGTGAATTGAAGAAATCAAGGGGAGTCAAAATGACGGCCACCACGTACCATCGTGACGCTGGTCGGAGAAACCTTGCCCTAAATCACTGCTGGAAACATCATCCGGCAATTCTCGACTCGCCGTGTGTATATTTGATATAGCAACGTTTGCATCTCTTTCCGAAGAGGCATTCAAGAAATCCATGTCAAACTCATTCGAGCTGTCAATGGTCACTTCTTCCGCAAGCTCGTTGGGGGCTAATAACGTCTCGACTTCACTGGGTGCATGGAAATGTCTTTGAAGGTACGGCGCATGCCCCGAGAATGGAAGACTCGAACGCCAGTGCTGGCTGGATAGAAACGGATGGGCCAGCGCGGGTCTATCCAAAGATATCTGTGAATGGATACGATCGTGGGAACCGGGTGGCCCGAACGGTTTAAAATGTGGTTTTTTTGCAGGCGGACGATAATGGATGACGTCGTCCAGATTGATCGGTGCCATGCCGCGAGAAAGATTCAGACGCAATGGATCAGGATAGAAGAGAAGGAACCATAGACAGATAGTCAGCCTCCTTCTCGGTCCTAGTGAGGACTTCCAAACCCTTTATACCTGCCTACCTTCCCCTGCCTCTTCCAAGCGCTTTGGGAAGGTCGAATGGACAAGAGTCGTGAGACAAAGCGCAGCCTGCCAATACGAGGATCCACCAACCCATCCACAACGGAATTCACAAAGGAGTCACGCGCAAGGCCGACACTGCATGCGGCATTTCTCCCATTGGATTAAAGCGTTTCATATTCGGATACGTTCACGGTCTGCCCTGCTGCGCCTTGCCAGAAGAGGACTATAGTGAAGGGATCGTCTCCGAAAGGGTGCTTAGCGTGGGCATCAGCGTCCAGTCGGGTGAGACATCATCATGCGCACGGCGGTGCCGACCCTCCCAAGAACCTCCGATAGTCCAGATTCCTCGGTCTTCTTTGCTGCGCCTCGCTAGAACAGTGACATTGCGGCAAGATCGTCCACGGAAGATCACTTGGCGCAGACACTGGCGTCCAGGAAAATGATTACCCATCATCCGTTAAGTGACGCTAGCCTATTCAAGGCCACTAAAAGTCGAAGCCCTCAAGAAAAAGAATCCGGGAATGAGACATTCTTCGTCATGGGCGGGGCGTAAGAGCAGCAAGTGCCAATGGATGCATGGGTGTGGCGAGAGCTTGTGATCAGCACTAGCTCAGAGAGCGCCGCGTCACAATCGTGCTCGACCGACCAGGTCGTAAATCGAATCTCCTCGCAAGCCAAGGCTCTCTCCCTGGGCCGATCGTAAAAGGCTACGCCGTTGCAGCGGGCAAAACAAGCACATACCGAAGAAACAGGGACCAGAGGGTAGGCATGTAAGCTATCGCCCAAATCAGATCATAGGGTTGCAGCGCAGCGGTCTAATTTGAGGATCAGGGCGACCAGGGCCGATGGATGGATCCATCTACAGCGAGTCGAGTGGAGAAAAGGCGCGCAGGCGATGACGAGGAACTCAGCTGAAACAGGGAGGCGCAGGGGGAAGGATGCCGTGCGATCCGGAATTACGGTATCATTTCACCGATGGCATGACAGGAGAGAGAAGAGTGCAGTCAGGCAGAGGGGAGGACGGTGGAGCGACGCACTGGAAGTTATATAGTCCAAGGGTCTGGCTGGCAGGCGGTCGGATATGGCAGATTCCCGTTGTGGGATAGCCGGAGGCGCCAAACTGTTTCGGGGACCGCTAAACCAGATTGGAGTCCGCTAAACCAGAACAGGAGCGGGTGAGGCCTCTGCCATTTCAGGAAAAGCGTAGACGCCAAACCGAATTAGGATGGACCAAACCCAAACGGGGCGGACGCCAAACCCGATCGAGGGGGCGGCCGAATCCGGCGCCCTCGGCACAAATGCTTTTTGTACCTATTTTAAATATTTCAATATACTTTATATAAATATTATTAAACATTATTACAAAGTTCTATAATATATTATTAAAAGCTATATAATATATAGTATCCTATATAAAATAAGATCAATCTATAATATAATTTAGCTAAATATTCTAAAATATTCCAATCTATCGAATAAGAATATTTAAATTATAAATATTATTTGTTATTATAGCTTTCAGCTCTATATATAAATCCTTAGAAGTATAGTAATACCTATATAAAATAAAATCTTATATAGTTAATTAATAACTAATACTAAACATTAATATAATATTAATATCTATTCGAATAGAACGCCGAAAACAAAGTATATACTAATAACAAATTAAAGATATAGTAACTATACAAGGAACAGGATCGTCTATAGCAATAGAAGTAGAAGTAATAGTAGTAGAAGTAGTAATAGCTATTTTAAAGGAATCTCAAGATATTAATAATACTACAAAACGATTGTTGATAATCTTATTTATATATTATATGATACAAAGAAGTATTACTGCTAAAAATAGATTTTCAAATAATCATTAAAGTATAAAGAAAGACTTTAGATTAAACGTTTAAAACATATTAAATTATTTAAATCCAAAATCAAAAAATTCAATTTCTATTTTAAAAACAAAGGAAGGATACTCTTCTCTTTAGCATTTTTTCTATATTGAGTTTTTTGAAAGATTTAATAAGATCTATTTACTACTAGTGTTGTCTTCGTTTACTACTGATACTATACAATGCAGAAACTGTAGACGAAGATGTC